AAGCACAGGTAAAAAACCTAGGTGTCATTTTAGATTTTGAACTCAACATTAGGAATGTGACCAAAATAGCTTTATATCACCTGAGGAACATTACCAAGGTGAGGCCATTTCTCTCTCAGGCTGATACAGAGAGACTCATCCATGCTTGTATTACTACTGTAATGGTCTCCTGTCTGGTCTACCCAAGAAAGCCATTGGTCAACTGCAAAACACACAGAATGCTGCAGCATGGGTACTGACCAAGACCAAACGGAGAGCACACATTACACCGGTTTTAAAGTCTCTGCACTAGCTGCCTGTGAGTTTTATAATTAATTTTAAGATTCTCCTATTGGTTTTTAAATCAATCCACGATTGTGTTCCCCAATACATATCAGACATGCCTTTGAGTTATGTACCCAGTAGGTCCCTCAGGTCCAATGGCACTGGCCTTTTAACTATCCCAAAGCCTAGGATCAAGAGGCATGGAAAGACAGCCTTTAGTTACTATACCCCCAGCCTCAAATTGCCTGCCAGAGAACTTGAGGGGGGCCAAAACTGTGGACATATTTAAAGGAGATCTTAAAACACATCTTTTTAGCTTTGCTTTTCCTTAGGGTGCTTTTTAGTCTTTCAGTTTTAATTGTTATTCTTTTGTTTTTTATCCTCTTATGTTTGTTGTGTAGTAAATATTTCTGTATGTATTTTCATTGTTTTTTATTTATGTTTTATCCTGTGAAGTGCATTGCGTTGTATTCATGTCTGAAATGTGCTATATAAGTAAAGCTTGATTTGATTATTAGAAATAATGTGCACTTCCTTAGGTATCTGGATCAACGTTATTGCAGGCCAAAGTTTTTTGCTCTGAACATGATTGTGCCACATGCTTACTAGCTGCGGGGTAAGTTACTGCACTTCTGATTAACGGACATAGAGCATTTGCTACTTTGAATTCAACTAGCTAATTCAAGTAGCTATGCAGATATGCAACTGTGCAAGTGCTTCGATAGCACATGGCTAGCTAGCTAACAGGCCCGAGCTTGTTAGGTAAATGTGTACATTAATCTGGAGGTGAAACGATTAAAGTTTATAGTTAATTAGTGAGACATTGCCCACTAGATAGATAGTTTTGTGTAAATGCTGCTGGGAAGCTTTTTTGTATTTTTTTACCTGTTTCCTTACATGTCCGGACTGGAGCAGCAGGTACTGTAGGTAGCAAAAGTCATCGCACGTGCATGAAGAAAGAAGCCCGCAACAGGTAGTGATGAGATCACAAGATGAGATTACTTTTTGTTGCTAATGTTAAATGACATAGCGTGGAGGACTATTTTCCGTAGCAGGTTAGGAGAATTTACCAGCAGGTTAGGAGATGTAACGTAGCAGGTTAGGAGACTGAGGTTAAGGTTAAGAAAAATGTTAGGGTTTGGGCCGCCTGTAGCTAGCTCTACATTTTCATTGGTCTTGTCTCACCTTGACTGGGCCTGGCTATACCCTGGTCTTCAGTGGCAGTGATGATTCTGTGTAGGCTGCCTAATCCATAGGCTCAGTTGTGTTTCTAGAGGCTGTTTATAATGAATGATGTTCTGGTGTACTGTGCAGTGTAGTGCAGTTTTTTTGTGTGGAATTTACATTGTTGGACATAAAAGACTGTAAAAAACATCAGGAAACCAGCTCCAAGTGATTTGAATTTAAGAAATCTGTTCCCAAGTATTCCCGCGCATTATAGAGACACGTTGTGATCGTATACAAATGTAAGCAAGGTTTGAAATGATTATGTTTTAGTCAAACATATCTGTTTGGGCTTCTTGCGGTCAATTTGCAGTCTACAAATTATTTGTTATTATGTTCCGGCCCCCTGACCATCCACTCAAGAAGAAATTAGGCCGCGGCTGAATATATTTGATGATCCCTGGTGTAGTGAGTCTTGGTCTAGGGGAGAAGGCAGAAGGAGCCAGTGCTGCTGCTGATTTCAAACCGATTCAAACAATGTCTGCCTGTCTGTCTGTCAGACCTCTGTGTGAGGAAGAGCAGCCCTTTAATCCCCATCACCACCTGACCATCTTTCCTCCTGCTCCCATTTCTCTCTCTTTCTCAGAGGAGAAGGCCAGACAAAGTAAAGAAGCTCCACAGACTGTGAAGATCACATGAAAAGGATCATGCATTTAGGCCTATTATTTTTCAGAAGGAAATACCCTACATCATTTCATAGTTGACTACACAGTTGGTAGCCCATTTAGTCTAGCAGGTGTAAAATAATCTAATATGCCTAAGCAAGTACCTGCCTACCTACTGGTATCAGCCTCTTTGGAAACAAAGGCATAATATTTTTGCGAGCTGTGTATGTCCCTTAGACATAATTGTCCCTTTCTACATATTTTTTGTAATTTAGCACACCTACAGTATCACAGTTTATTCATACTAGACCTAGGCCTAATTCTGTGTGATTAGATCGCTATAACTAAAGCAGTGTGTAATGCTGTTATGTGGGCAAACATTGTCTGCACTAGTGATGCCTGTGTCAGTGTAATGCCTCTATTTGCTGGTTAACGAGGTGGCATTAGTGTAAACAGCTGAAGAGCTAAGTCAGTGTTCTGGCACTCTGGACTGTGTTGGATGGGGGATGTCCAAGGGGGTGCTCAAACAGCCATCCAAAATATGTTTGGGGTTTTACTTTGTGCTTTGCTGTTGGCCAGCACCTCATTCTTTCAACGCAGTGTTCACAGTCAATGTTATGAAGGCGGGCGGTTTAATATCATATATAGATTTTATTAATTTCATGTCAGTATGCTGCTGCAAATAAGTCAGTCAAAAGTCAAAGACTAGAGTAAAAAGTCAATTCAAGGCAGAGGTGTGGCTGCATTCTATCATGCTAGGCATGCATATTCGGTGGACTTTCCGTGGACCCACTTGTCATAAGAGCATCATAATGTTCTTTAGTTGAAGACAAAATGGCTAAACTCTCTCTGTTTATGGCTCTTAACAATATCCTGCGTACGATAGCTTCTAAACCTATCTTTTCTTACAGGTCAGCTAGTGCCTCTTGGGAGAGGCTGCTGACATCAGCCTTGCTGCTACTGATTCTTCACTCTTCTCTGTCACTGCAGCCTGACTGATTGCTCTATGTTGGCCTGTTTCATCAGCTGCGTTACAGATGCCTGATCTATCTAATGACTAAGATCATGAGTGCTTTCAGAAAATGTACTGTAGCCTACCTATAGGCTGCTCCCCTACACTTTTTGAGGGATACACAATGAATGGTCATATACAAACACATTTCTTAAAGCACAGAGAAATAACAATAGGACCAGTTGGATAATTAGCCTAATTAAGACTTCAATTGTAAGCATTTTCTATACATTAAGATACACTCTATCTACTCCAGTGCTAACCGACGATGATACAAAAACAAATATACAAAAACATTTTTATTGTCACATACACCGGATAGGTGCAGTGAAATGTGTTGTTTTACAGGGTCAGCAATAGTAGTACAGCACCCCTGGAGCAAATTAGGGTTAAGCTGAAGGGCACATCGACAGATTTTCACCTTGTTGGCTCAAGTATTCAAACCAGCGACTTTTCGGTTACTGGCCCAACGCTCTAACCGCTAGGCTACCTGCCGCCCACTCTGCTACAGCTACAACCTGTCGCTACGTTGCTCTACCTGGGGGCAGGTTCATTCGTTTTGTTTGGTACTACTGTACATTCTTTCAGTGAGCATCTTAGGCACTAAGGAAAGGAGACCTCTCTGTGAGGTCAAGATTACTGTTCCTGTTAATCAGCTAAACACTCTTTAGGACAAAAGTAGGTGGGGCCTACAGGAAAAATAGACAATTGTTTCTACAAGGGTCATTGTGAGTTAAACTCCCCTGCTTTCATTTGTCAGAGAGTATGTTGTTCTAGTAGTGTGTCTAAGTTTTATTGTAATATGCTACTTTTCAGGAAAATATCTACTCTTCACCTGGCTTGGCAGAAGTTTGTTTAGCACAGTGCAGATGACCTGTGTTGAAAGATGGCCCTTGACAAAAATACATTTTTGCATGCCTAGTTCAATAACCTCAGTATGAATGATACATTTTACATGATTGTAAATATTCCATATGAATGGTGAAACTGTTTCACCCATGGTTTGTGTGTATAGGGAGAAAAACCTGACCCAATTTGTGGAATTACTCAATTATCACCCAGCCTCAGAGCTCATGGTCAGAGATAGGCGTTCCATGGTCTGCAGCTTTTCCCATTGTTTATTGTGTCCTGTGCATTACCCCGGAATTCCACATTCTTGCATCTAGTTCTTGTATTTAGAGCTTGCACAGAAAACATATTGTTGCCATGCCAAGAGTTTATTTTGTGTGTGTAGTGGATTCTATGCTCATGGCCATGTTACAAAGCTCTTATTCACTCACTTGTTTTGGAGTATAGGGCTATTTGTATTTCTGTGGGTCTTTGTGTGTGTGTGTGTGTGTGTGTGTGTGTGAGAGAGAGGGAGAGTGTGCGCATGCAAATCAAATCAAGTTTTATTGGTCACATACACATATAGTATTTAGCATATGTTATTGCGGGAGTAGCGAAATGCTTGTGTTCCTAGCTCCAACAGTGCAGTAATATCTAACAATACACACTAATCTAAAAAGTAAAAGAATGGAATTAAGAAATATATAAATATTTGTGTTATTACATTTCCATGAACATATAAACATAGCACCAAAAGGTGTCTGACAATGCATTTAATTAGGAAATGATGAATATGTCCAAATCTTGCCACGTACACGTGTTCAAAATAGGAGAGCGCTGGACTAGAACATGAGGAACATGGTCTGACAGACCCTGACTGAAAGGCTTATCAGAGCATCTCCTACTTACCTTTTCTTTGTGTGACTAAATAAACATTTCCCCCATGAAAGAAAAATGAAGTCTTTATTAAGAGATCCATCTGTGTTGGGTTGCGTCACGATAATCACCAGCGTTTGAAATATTTAATACTGTATGTGCTTGTAATCTGAAGGGATTGCAGCATTGCCATGACAACAGATACACGGTGGAGCTCCCTGCATTATGGTAAGTGCTCCACAGAGCACAGAGGCAGCTGAGTGATGGAAGTGCACCCTGTAGTGTAGGGGACTGTAGGGCCAGCCATATCTGATATATTTGCTGTCTCAAAAAAAGAAACGTCAGTAGTTTAAAAAAATGTGAAAGCATTAAAGCCTAACCACTCCTTTTGTCCCTGTGCCACAGGTAATAAATCCCAGGACAGCAGCATCGTAGAGATGGAGGAGCTTCCTGTCCCTCAGAACATCAAAATCAGCAACATCACATGTGACTCTTTCAAGATTTGCTGGGACATGGAGCCCCGTGTCAAGGAGCGCATCACTCACTACTTCATTGACCTCAATAAGAAAGAGAACAAGAACTCCAACAAGTTCAAACACAAGGTAACCTATCACACACACAACAACAACAACTAGGCTATTTCAAAGGAATAGCTCACAGATATTTCCTAATTCTATAATACAATCAATCAATCACATTTATTATATAAAGACCTTTTCACATCAGCATTTGTCACAAAGTGCTTTAGATACACAGCCTAAAACACCAAAAAGCGAGCAATGCAGAGGCAGAAGCACAGTGGCTAGGAAAAACTAGAGCGGGAAGTTGTCTATAAAATTATTTCTACATAATGAGGCAAGTCATTTAGTTAGAGCTAGAACACCAACCAGTATTTACCCACATCGTAACCTTTCTACTCCAAACAAGAAGTGTATCAGGTGTAAGCTTTTACCAGTGCTCAGAACTGACACTCCCACACACTCTCTAACGCCAGGTAACCTTGTGTACTCTACTAGCAGACTTAGCTCTGAGCAGTAACGATATCACATAATGCTAGCAGAGACTAATTGCACAAGATGGCTGCTGTTTCAGCCGTTAATCTAATGGAGCTAATGTAAGATCTTACAGACCCATTTCATCAGTCTCCCAGCTCACATTCACATTCTGGGTGTAGTGACCATGAAAGCCCCCCCCACAAAGGAAGTGTTTTTCTTCTCATTCTCTGTGTGAATATAGACCGCATGCAGTTATTTTCATTACAGCACGCAGGGACGATGTTGTGCATTAATGTACTACTGTTGTCGCTACACAGGGGCTGGTGTAATACTGCAGGGTGTGCGGGCCCAATCAATGTCCTGCTAAAGCATAGATGGAGGAGATAGGAAGTATAGTACTAGGCTCCATAGTATAAAGTGAATACATTTTGAGGACATGGGGATAAGGGAATGCTACAGTCTATACAGTGCCTTCAGAAAGTATTCAGACCTCTTGACTTTTTCCCCATTTTGTTACATTACAGCCTTATTCTAAAATTGATTAAATGGCTTTTTCCCCTCATAAATCTACACACAATACCCCCATAATGACAAAGGTTTTTTGCAAATGTATAAAAAAAATAAAACTGAAATATCATATTTACATAAGTATTCAGACCCTTTACTCAGTACTTTGTTGAAGCACCTTTGGCAGCGAATACCCAAGAAGACTCGATGCTGTAAGACGCTACAAGCTTGGCACACCTGTATTTGGGGAGTTTCTCCCATTCCTCTTTGCAGATCCTCTCAAGCTCTGTCAGGTTGGATGGGGAGCGTTGCTGCACAGCTATTATCAGGTCTCTCCAGAGATGTTCGATCGGGTTCAAGTCTGGGCTCTGGCTGGGCCACTCAAGGACATTCAGAGACTTGTCCCAAAGCCACTCCTGCGTTGTCTTGGCTGTGTGCTTAGGGTCGTTGTCCTGCTGGAAGGTGAACCTTTGCCCCAGTCTGAGTTCCTGAGCGCTCTGGAGCAGGTTTTCATCAAGGATCTCTCTGTACTATACTCCGTTCATCTTTGCCTCGATCCTGACTAGTCTCCCAGTCCCTGCCGCTGAAAAACATCCCCACAGCATGATGCTGCCACCACCATGCTTCACCGTAGGGATGGTGCCAGGTTTCCTCCAGACGTGACGCTTGGCATTCAGGCCAAAGAGTTCAATCTTGGTTTCATCAGACCAGAGAATCTTGTTTCTCATGGTCTCAGAGGCTTTAGGTGCCTTTTGGCAAACTCCAAGCGGGCTGTCATGTGCTTTTACTGAGGAGTGGCTTCCGTCTGGCCACTCTACCATAAAGGCCTGATTGGTGGAATGCTGCAGAGATGGTTGTCCTTCTGGAAGGTTCTTCCATCTCCACAGAGGAACTCTAGAGCTCTGTCAGAGTGACCACCAGGTTCTTGGTCACCTCCCTGACCAAGGCCCTTCTCTCCCGATTGCTCAGTTTGGCCGGGCCGCCAGCTCTAGGAAGAGTCTTGGTGGTTCCAAACATCTTCCATTTAAGAATGATGGAGGCCACTGTATTCTTGGGGACCTTCAATGCTGCAGACATGTTTTGGTACCCTTCCCGAGATCTGTGCCTCGACACAATCCTGTCCCTGAGCTCTACGGACATTCCTTCGACCTCATGGCTTGGTTTTTGCTCTGACATGCACTGTCACCTGTGGGACCTTATATAGACAGGTGTTTGCCTTTCCAAATCATGTCCAATCAATTGAATTTACCACAGGTGGACTCCAATCAAGGTGTAGAAACACCTCAAGGATGATCAGTGGAAACAGGATGCACCTGAGCTCAATTTCGAGTCTCATAGCAAATGCGCTGAATATTTCTGTAAATAAGGTATTTCAGTTTTTTCTTTTTAATAAATTGGCCAAAGTTTCTACAAAGCTGTTTTTGCTTCGTCATTATGGGGTATTGTGTGTAGATTGCTGAGTTTTTTGTTCTATTTAATCCATTTTAAAAATAAGGCTGTAGCGTAACAAAATGTGGAAAATATCAAGGGGTCTGAATACTTTCCGAAGGCACTGTGTCGTTTGTGCAGCTTAACACTGAGAAGTGTGTTTATGCTGAGTTTCTGTTTTGGTTGCATTAATATATATCAATAATAAGTAGGCCCCTACTGCCTTTGGTGTCAGTTGTGTAAGAAACAGAAGGTAGTAGACATGACAAATGACATTGGAATGGTGACGTTACGTGAAAGCGCTGATGTCACTTAATTAACCTACAGTGAGGGAAAAAAGTATTTGATCCCCTGCTGATTTTGTACGTTTGCCCACTGACAAAGAAATGATCAGTCTATAATTTTAATGGTAGGTTTATTTGAACAGTGAGAGACAGAATTACAACAAAAAAATCCAGAAAAACGCATGTCAAAAATGTTATAAATTGATTTGCATTTTAATGAGGGAAATAAGTATTTGACCCCCTCTCAATCAGAAAGATTTCTGGCTCCCAGGTGTCTTTTATACAGGTAATGAGCTGAGATTAGGAGCACACTCTTAAAGGGAGTGCTCCTAATCTCAGTTTGTTACCTGTATAAAAGACCTGTCCACAAAAGCAATCAATCAATCAGATTCCAAACTCTCCACCATGGCCAAGACCAAAGAGCTCTCCAAGGATGTCAGGGACAAGATTGGAATGGGCTACAAGACCATCGCCAAGCAGCTTGGTGAGAAGGTGACAACAGTTGGTGCGATTATTCGCAAATGGAAGAAACACAAAAGAACTGTCAATCTCCCTCTGCCTGGGGCTCCATGCAAGATCTCACCTCGTGGAGTTGCAATGATCATGAGAACGGTGAGGAATCAGCCCAGAACTACACAGGAGGACCTTGTCAATGATCTCAAGGCAGCTGGGACCATAGTCACCAAGAAAACAATTGGTAACACACTACGCCGTGAAGGACTGAAATCCTGCAGCGCCCGCAAGGTCCCCTGCTCAAGAAAGCACATATACAGGCCCTTCTGAAGTTTGCCAATTAACATCTGAATGATTCAGAGGAGAACTGGGTGAAAGTGTTGTGGTCAGATGAGACCAAAATCGAGCTCTTTGGCATCAACTCAACTCGCCGTGTTTGGAGGAGGAGGAATGCTGCCTATGACCCCAAGAACACCATCCCCACCGTCAAACATGGAGGTGGAAACATTATGCTTTGGGGGTGTTTTTCTGCTATGGGGACAGGACAACTTCAAATCAAATCAAATTTTATTTGCCACTTGCGCCGAATACAACAGGTGTAGACATTACAGTGAAATGCTTACTTACAACCCTTAACCAACAATGCATTTTTTTTTTTATAAAAAAGTTAAATAAAACAACATCAAAAAAGTGTTGAGAAAAAAAGAGCAGAAGTAAAATAAAATAACAGTAGGGAGGCTATATATACAGGGGGGTACCGGTGCAGAGTCAATGTGCGGGGGCACCGGCTAGTTGAGGTAGTTGAGGTAATATGTACATGTGGGTAGAGTTAAAGTAAAAGTAAAATGTGGGTAGAGTTAAAGTAAAAAGATGGGGTGGGGGTGGGGGTGGGGGGGGCAGTGCAAATAGTCTGGGTAGCCATGATTAGCTGTTCAGGAGTCTTATGGCTTGGGAGTAGAAGCTGTTGAGAAGTCTTTTGGACCTAGACTTGGCACTCCGGTACCGCTTGCCGTGTGGTAGCAGAGAGAACAGTCTATGACTAGGGTGGCTGGAGTCTTTGACAATTTTTAGGGCCTTCCTCTGACACCGCCTGTTATAGAGGTCATAGATGGCAGGAGGTTCTCACCGCATCAAAGGGACGATGGACGGGGCCATGTACTGTCAAATCTTGGGTGAGAACCTCCTTCCCTCAGCCAGGGCATTGAAAATGGGTCGTGGATGGGTATTCCATCCCTCCTGAGATGTGTGCAAACCTGGTGGCCAACTACAAGAAACGTCTGACCTCTGTGATTGCCAACAAGGGTTTTGCCACCAAGTACTAAGTCATGTTTTGCAGAGGGGTCAAATACTTATTTCCCTCATTAAAATGCAAATCAATTTATAACATTTTTGACATGCGTTTTTCTGGATTTTGTTGTTGTTATTCTGTCTCTCACTGTTCAAATAAACCTACCATTAAAATTATAGACTGATCATGTCTTTGTCAGTGGGCAAATGTACAAAATCATATATATGTATATATTTATTTTACTAGGCAAGTCAGTTCTTATTTACAATGATGGCCAAACCCAGCTGGTCCAATTGTGCACCGCACAATCACGGCCGGATCATGATACAGCCTGGAATTGAACCAGGGTCTGTAGTGATGCTTCTAACACTGAGATGCAGTGCCTTAGACCACTGTGCCACTCGGGAGCCTGGGATTGAACCCGCCACATATGATATGTTGCTTGTGCAGCTGAACAGTGAATAATGTGTTTATGCAGAGTTTTTGTTTTGTTTGTAGAGATGTAAGCTTTGTGTACGTTACACACTCTCTGTCTGTGTCCCTGTCCAGGATGTTCCCACTAAGCTGGTGGCGAAGGCAGTTCCTCTGCCGATGACAGTGAGGGGTCACTGGTTCCTCAGCCCGCGTACAGAGTACACTGTGGCCGTCCAGACAGCTTCCAAACAGACTGACGGAGACTACGCTGTGTCAGAGTGGAGCGAGATCATAGAGTTCACCACCGCCGGTGAGGCGAGGGGCAGGGAAACAAAGCTTTTTGAAATTTAGATTTTTTTAGGCATATCCCTAAAACCTTCTGCCTTTATTTGATGGACATGCTATATTCTCTCTTATATTTGTCTAATGGCTAATCCGAACCCCTGTTTCCAGATTATTCCACGGTGCATCTAACCCAACTGCTGGAGAAGGCTGAGGTCATTGCAGGGAGGATGCTGCGCTTCTCTGTGTTCTACAGGAACCAGAACAAAGAGTACTTTGACCAGGCCAGGTACGTATGTCTGCACAACAACCAGCAAATGTATTCTGATGTTATGATACTGCATTTTAAAAGTTTAAAGCGGAATCACGTAATATGGAGAAGAAAAAAAATAGGGCTGCACATGACCCTTTACTGATACCGCCTTCCCTTTCAACTGAAATTGTGAGATTCTTTCCTCACAGCTCAAGGGAAAGGGTCCAGATGTTATAGTTTGAAGCATTTTTTAATATGCTCAGATCTGCATGTGTAGGGGCCTCCCGAGTGGTGCAGCGGTCTAAAGCACTGCTTGAGGCGTCACTACAGACCCGGGTTCGATCCCAGGCTGTGTCACAGCAGGCTGTGACCGGGAGACCCATGAGGCGGCGCAGAATTGGCCCAGTGTTGTCCGGGTTAGGGGAGGGTTTGGCCTGCCGGGATTTCCTTGTCCCATTGCACTCTAGTGACTCCTTGTGGCGGGCCGGGCACCTGCAAGCTGACACATTGCTGCGGCTCGCTTCTGGGTTAAGCAAGCAGTGCAGCTTGGCAGGGTTGTGTTTTGGAGGACGCATGGCTCTCTCCCGAGTCCGTAGGGGAGTTGCAGCGATGGGACAACGCTGTAACTACCAATTGGGGAGGAAAAAGGGGTAAAAGTACAACAACAAAAAAGATCTGCATGTGTAGGGCTAGTTCTGTATTTGGGGACCGTGGATCAATCACCTCCCCTCCAAAAATACATAGTACAATCGAGATTTGATTGTGAATCAGCAGTTTTTTTTTACTGTTATGTCAGTCACTGACAGTCACTCAATAAGCCCATGTCAGCAAATACGTTTTTGATTGGTAAGTTAGTTTAGCCACATATCTAAACTTGTAGTAATCATGTTCGAATTCCCGGCCAGGGGACCCCATTGATTTTGTTAGTTACTGTCACTCAGATATCATATTAAAAACTGCAAAATGAATAGAACTGCATTAAATTAGTTATAAAGTTGCAAAATCTTCACTTCTCCCCATGGAAAAATTTGTAGAATTGCAGCAAAATTGCTTTAAAATTGCTAAATGTTCTCTACGCCCCATGGCAAAATGTGTTGAATTGCAGGAAATTAACCCTAAAACATTTTTTTCTCTCATCTGTCAATAATTACAGCAGGTAGGTTTGAAATTATTTGGGTAGGTTTGAAATTATTTGGAAGAGGGGGGCCGCTAAAATGTTTTGCTTGCAAGGCCCCCAAAAGGGCCCCCAAACGGCTAAGGCCGGCTCTGACTGCATGTGTGGGTATGAATGTGGGTACGCAGACCCGGGAGCCACTGCGGCCCCTCGTGATGAGTTCAGATTTTTGTGGTCCCCATCAAAGTTGCCCGTCCCTGGTCTAAGCTCAACAGAAGGGTATTATTGCAAAAAAGAGTGTTGACAGAAGTCGTATTAGTTCTCCAAATCCATTCATAAACTCTGCTACATTGCATTATACAAAAAGTAAAGTATCCGGGTTAGCAGATTATAGTTCATTAAAACAGCAGTTCTGGAAATCTGTTTACTTGTAGGATTTGCTTCATTCTGAACTAGAAGAGTAACATGGTCACGAAACTTCTGAATTACTATTTTGCACAAGGTAAGTATAAAAGTAAAAAAAAATAAAAATCAATTTGCGCATATGCTGGAACAAATTACCTTCCCAATGACCGCATGCGTTGGACCTGTATTAATTTTTCCAAATAATTTCAAACCTACCCGCTGTAATTGCTGGAATAAATGAAGAAGAAGCATTGTGCTCGGAGAAGCAAAGTATATTCTGATGAAAGAGGAAGCGGAGTGTGTAGCAAACACCTGGCAGACTGACAGGAAAGCAAGATAGAGAGAGAGAGAGAGAAACAGAGTGAGCGAGACAGAGAGGAGATGAGTCTGTTGTATTTGCTGATGTGTCTTAAGGGATTATGTATTTTTTGGGAGGGGTAAGACATCTTCTGCTCTCTAGTTTTATCTTCTCTTGTTTTCATTTCTCTGTGGCGTAGCATGGTTAAGGACCATAAAATGAGGCCTTTGCTATGATGACCCAGGTGGGACCTGAATAATTAGATCATTACCATGACAGAGACAATTATGGTTATAATGATAGCCTTTAAAGTGTTACCAATGTAATTACGCCAATAATTGAAGACTTTGGAGCTCGGATCTGCGTCATAGGAGATCTGACAGCCAATTTATACGTACCTCAGAAGCACTGTGCTTTTTTCAAAGTTTCTACTATTCATTTGTTGGCATCCAGAGCTCTTTCCGAATACAATCTGTCTAGGGCAAAGGAAGGTGTCTGTTTACCAGGCAGAAAACGGAGGAGAAATTTGCATTAACTAGTGGCTGGATTCAATCCGTATCACGGATGTATCGCAGAAGATCTGTGTTAAAATGTTAAGATAATTTCCGATTGAGCTGACATATGCAGTGTTTACTGTGAATGCAGTCTCCGCAAACGCAGGAACATTGCCTTTCAATTTAAATTGAGCTATAACGCAGATCTTCCACGATACTTCTGTGATAAGAATTGAATCCAGCCCTAGATTAAATTGATTAGGGGCTCGATTCAATCCGTTATGCTGAAGATCTGAGCTACAGCGAGACATACATTTAAAGAAGACAGCATGCGGTAAACGCTGCATATGTCAGCTTAATCAGAAATTACCTTATAATTTCAATCGCGCTATAACGCTGAACTTCCACGATATGGATCGAATCAAGCCCTAGATCCGTCTTTTTACTAATGGTTTCCGAAATGTAGCCTTTCTGATAACTTGTTTGCATTGTCAAGAGACGCATTGACAAGCTTTTGATAGGATCCAATTACTACCCTAATCCCTGGTTGTACTGATGATGCATTGTAACAACCTATAGTATAGTGAATACTCAGACAGTTGTCCATGTTTCCTCTCCAGGGAGGTGCATGGGAACCACATGCTGCCAGCAGTGAAGGACAACAGTGGAAGCCACGGCTCACCTATCAGCGGAAAGCTGGAGGGCCTCTACTTCAGCTGCAACACAGAGTTCAACACAGGCAAGCCCCCCCAGGATTCCCCCTACGGCCGCACACGCTTCGAGATCCAGGCTGAGACCCTGTTCAACCCCAAGACTAATCTCTACTTCGGGGACTTCTACTGCATGTACACAGCCTACCACTACGTCATACTGGTGCTGGCCCCACAGGGCTCGCCCGGCGATGACTTCTGTAAGGCAAGGCTGCAAGCGCTCGATATCACCAACAACCACTTCCTGACGTGCACGGTGGATGAGGAGGCAGGCGACGGGGCGCTGGTGTTCCGGCACTCCCAGGATGTGATCCTGGAGGTGATCTACACGGAGCCCGTGGACCTGGCGCTGGGCACGGTGGCAGAGATCAGCGGGCACCAGCTCATGAGCCTTTCTACTGTCAACGCCAAGAAGGACCCCAGCTGCAAGACCTGCAACATCAGCGTGGGACGCTAGTGGGAGACTGGACTGGACCTGTGCTACACACAAATGCAACCCCAACCTTTACACACCTCTATATCCACAAATAACCACCCTCCCAAAAGAAGAACAGTGCAAAAGACGGACCCAGACTGTGAAAGAAATGTAACAACAGGGTGCGGTGCTAGAATTCATAAACCATTAGCATACACACACACACACACACACACACACACATAAGCAAAACACATAATTCATAACCCTTTACATCCTCAAAGGACCACCCTCCCAAAAGTGTGGAATTCTATTCAATCCTCCCGCCAACCCCATTAGAAGAGAAACAATGCAAAAGAGGGAGCCCCAACTGAAAGATATACAGCTTAAGTGTGGGACCCTAACAACCCTTTGTCAGCATCATCCAAACCGGCTAGCCAACACTAGCCAATTAACTGACTGAACCCTTTAAATGTTCTAACCAAACATTCATTGTTGCCTGCATTTATTCACACAGCTTTTCTCATAGATTTTCCCTCCTGTTGTTTTTCAAACATCTCCTTCTCCCTTTGACCTTTTCTGTTGTTCACTTCAGTCCAGGTAGACAGATGGTTGTGTTCCTGTTTTTCTGTCTCTCCTGGAAGGTGTTAGTTTGGTTTCAGATCAGACAGATCTAAGTTACTCCATACCTCCCTTCCTCCCTCTATTGGCAGAGACTGGTACTAATTTAGGGCTGCAGTGTCATCATCTTTATGCCAAAGGTAACACAAATGGAAATAACTTGCTGTAGAATAACAATACTAATGCAACAGCCACTAAAAAGCATATTAACTCTGAGATCAACTTGGTAACTACTACTTGGTAACCTTTAAGAGCATGATGCAGTATGTGCAGCATGACTTTGAAAACTGTCAACTGCAATGTTATGTTTTATTTATTCTAGTTATAAGGAAACCATAAACTGTGTTTAGCAAAGTAAATGTGAAAAAAATATTTATTTTTTACTGCTATATATACAAAAATATAGAAGCCAGAAGTGCACAATGTCAAGAGCTCTGATCATAGTAAAGAATGGCATTTTGGGATGAAAAACCCATTTGACTGCAGGAGTTACTTGCCCTATGCCAACATTCATACATTTATTTTTTCAAGGTAATGTATAACTTGAATTGCCACAATTCATCATATCAACTATGAACTAATACATATCATAGTACAATGTGGGACTAAAAACTGATTGACATACACAAACATTCTACAGGATTGTCAGATTGTATATTTGGATGACATATCCTCCTTGCCAAGATTGCACTTTTCAAAGTGCTGCATTTGAACGTAGAACACCACCTGTTATACCGACAATAGTTTTGCGAGAAGAAAATGCAAGTAACAATTGTGTCATAAAATAGCTTAGAAATTGATAACATGTATCTAACATCAACTGTGTTATATTTGTTCTCTTTGTTTCCTTAAAATTAAACTGTTACACACACTAAATCAGTTGCATAAAATATAAAAATTACATCAGTTGCATAAAATATAATTTGTCATCATAAATAACAAAGGACTTGTTAAGGGACAAAAAATTGCTGGATGTCGTCCAGCAACTCTTGAATCATCTTGCCATCCCTCTTAACCAAAGTGAGAGTCAGTTAACATCAAAGTCATTTTAAAGTGCATCACCATGTAACCATGGCATGAAACATGACAAGAAGTACCGGTATCTCACTTCGAAAATTGTTCAGAAAAGAAAGGTCCTATAAATGAGTAAGAAAACTGTTTCAAAATAAAAGTCCCACTGTGAAGGAGGCTCAGACAGTCTTCTAAGTATCCTGTTTACTGAGCAGGGCTTCCAGTAAGCGGAGTTTAGCTTTTAGGCTCTTGTACTCGCAGTACTCCTCTGCCATGGGCCCGCGGTCCTCTTTCTGGGCATTCCTTTAAAGACGAGGAAGAAAAAAACACAAACTTAACATTTTAGACAAGCTGTAGCTTCCTTTACTGGTATAGTCCCTGTGTTGCCTTATTCAGATAACATTGTACAGTGAGTATTGTAATCAAAGCATTGTATTTTAGGGCTCTATTCAATCTGCCTCACGGAAATTCAGCTTTACAGCATGATTGAAACTTAAAGGCAATGTTCCCGCTTTAGTGGAGAATGCATTCATGGAAACGATGATTATGTCGGCTCATTCAGAAATTATCTTAACATTTCTATTGGGGAATCTGTAATGCTTCAGCGTTACAGATTGAATAGAGCCCCTACTTAAAAAAACAGCTACATGTACAAAATATGTGTATACTGTAGTTCAGAGCAGTTGTCTCTATCTCTCTGTCTCTCTCCTAAGTACTTCTTTGTGTCGTATTAACGTGAGTGTGCTTCACGCTGTTGTATCATTCTGCTGAATTCTTTTGGTGGATGTTTTACTTTATTTTTCACAAGGCATTGTTGAACTATGGACACCAAATGTTCCAGTTTGTTAAAAGAAAATTAAAGAAAAAGCAAACAGTGAAGTGTAACGAGTCTTACCTGCAGGTCTGTGTGTAGAAGTGGTCCTCAAAGTCTCGGAGTACTGAACGGAGTCTCTTCTTCTCTGCTCGTGTCACACTCAGCTGCTCCAGTAACTCTGACCTACAGTACAGTAGGAGGGGTCATGTAGAGGAGTGAGACAAGCATACATACAGCAAGGGCTCACTCCCAAATCAACCCCTATGCACTAGCAAGAGAAGTTAACCAGGGGCATACCTTGACGCCTCATGCAGTGTTGCCGTGGTGACGCTGGGTGGCTGTAGACTTTTGATCTCCTCCAGAGGTGACACGAGAGGTATGTTGGCCACCTTATTATACGGCAGACGCAGTGACTCATCTGAAGACACACAGCGCAACGCTGTATGAGGTAGCCAGGGACTGTCCTTCACACACTCTTCATCAGAACCCTCCTCTTCCTCCTGTAGGGAATCAGAGCACAGAGGCTGAGAGACTCTGTGTGTGTGTGTGTGTGTTTGTGTGTAGCCGCGGGAAGTAGGGGTGCTGAGAGTGCTGCAGTACACCCTGAAAAATCGGAATAAATAAATAAATATATAAAGAACTTAGTTTTTTTATTTCAGAAAAGTAGTGCACTGGGCCTTTACTAGTCCTGTATTAGCGGACCAATATAGCCTTCTATAGCACAGCCCAAATGTACAGCGCAGCAATATATCTCAGTGTATTGCATAAATTCTGCATGCATTGGATTGCAACGCTGGCACGGTAAAATAATCCAGTCCAGTTTAATGAATTACAGTGTAGACTAATCCAAGTATAGGCTATGACACAATGTACATGGAGAAGAAGGCTAAAACATGGTCAGTGGCAGATCAAAATAGTGGCACGAAGAGTCTCCTGGTGAACGGAGGAGTTGTCCATGGTGCTGTCATTCTAGGTCCTTTATTAACCTGTTCATAATGAGCACGGGATGGTTGGATTTTGGCTTCTGCTCTGATGGATGAAGCCAGCATACAGACACCACTGGTTACAGACCTACCACAGATCTTACTTGCAGTGGTGTATTGCAATTTTTTTTTAGATGAGGGAGCGCAAACAAATATGTAAATGACGTCAACATTTCCTCAATCAAAGTTTGTACCGACAGATGTAGCCTATTGAATACCTTATCATGGCTCTCCAACCCTGTTCCTGGAGTGCTACCGTCCTGAAGGGTTTCACTCCAACCCCAGTTGTAAGTAACCCGATTCATTTTATAAACCAGCTAATTATTAGAATCAGGTGCGCTAGATTAGGGTTGGAATGAAAACCTACAGGATGGTAGCTCTCCGGGAACAGGGTTGGAGAGCCCTGTTATAGAATATACATAAAATGCATCCTCCAATTGCAACGTTTGCCTATGCCCACACATATTATCTCAAGAAAATGTTATATTTTCAATACCCTCAAACACCAAGTTAGGCATACCTAATTTCTAAATAGGCCATCATTACTGTCAATCGTGAATTATAATAATTCACGTTTTACCGGTGAAACTGCATCGGCATGCCAATAATTTCATTGATCTCAATCAGTTTCATGGGAATAGCCTATGCATTGCGATCTTCTTGAATTACTGTTTCATGAACGAATTAGAGCAGATGATAACAAACTATTATCCTTTCTTGTATTTTGTTTCAATCAAAGCATATATCCTGCATAGTGGCTCTGAGTTTTGGTGCATTATACTTTTTCTTTAACTATTCAGCTTCAGGTAACCATCCTAAAATCTCATTAGAAATTAGGTGTTTTTGGTGTAACAGTAATGTTATAGGCCTGCTATGCTATTCGGTTCAGTTATATAAAATATGAATGAATTAATTAATGTGATATTGCAAGACATTGATTCAGCTTTGATCTAACTTGACTAAACTAGCACCATTGTGAGAAGTAATCATCTTATATTTGTAATAATAATAATAATAATAACAATAATAGTAAATGATGAGTAGGACTATTATACGTAGGCAACAGATCTTGATGAGTGTTATTTTAAAGATTGGAGTGCCCTTCGTGGTTGTAAATGTACAGCGCTAAATAAACTTTGATTTGATTATCTTGAACACATGGTTACAATATACCTATTACAGAACAAAAGAAAACAGAGGGCTGAACTATCAATTCATATAATGTATTTACATAGAAGTAGTGAACATAAATCATTGCAGGAAATTTGTTTAAAAACAGCCATAAAATCAAGCTTTTGGTGTAGTGTATTCATGCATCTCAATAAACTATAACCTAAATGTATTATTACCTCCAACTTGGCCCAATTTACAATTCCAATTTCCCACCCTGACATAGCCTACCCTAACAGGCCCTGTGTCTCAACCAATAGCCAATATAGGCTAAAGATCCCAAGCAGGGCTACAGAAACTTCCAGAGATGGTCAGGCTCTTGGGCTTTATGGTGGCCACTCTGGTTTTGGTGTCCCTGGCAGAACGGTGTTGCTGTAATCAAGTGGTCACATAAAGTGCATTCAGAAAGTATTCAGACCCCTTGACTTTTTGTTACTTTACAGCCTTATTCCTAAATTGATTACATTATTTTTTCTCATCAATCTACACACAATACCCCATAATGACAAAGTGAAAAAAGTTTTTTTTTTGAAATCTTTGCAAATGTATTAAAAATAAAAAACAGAAAAACCTTATTTACATAAGTATTCAGACCCTTTGCTATGAGACTCGAAATCGAGCTCAGGTGCATCCTGTTTCCATTGATCATCCTTGAGATGTTTCTACAACTTGATTGGAGTCCACCTGTGGTAAATTCAATTGATTGAACATGACTTGGAAAGGCACACACCTGTCTGTATAAGGACCCACAGTCGACAGTCCATGTCAGAGTAAAAACCAAGCCATGAGGCCGAAGAAATTGCCCGTAGAGCTCCGAGACAGGATTGTGTTCTTCCAGATCTGGAAGAAGTTTGGAACCACCTAGGCTCTTCCTAGAGCTGGCCGCTCGGCCAAACCGAGCAATCGGGGGAGAAGGGCCTTGGTCAGGGAGGTGACCAAGAACCCAACGATCACTCTGACAGAGCTTCAGAGTTCCTCTGTGGAGATGGGAGAACCTTCCAGAAGGACAACCATCTCTGCAGCACTCCACCAATCAAGCCTGTATGGTAGAGTGGCCAAACTGAAGCCACTCCTCAGTAAAAGGCACATGACAACCCGCTTGGAGTTTGCCAAAAGGCACCTAAAGGACTCAGACCATGAGAAACAAGATTCTCTGGTCTGATGAAACCAAGATTGAACTTTTTGGCCTGAATGACAAGTGTCACGTCTGGAGGAAACCTGGCACCATCCCTACGGTGAAGCATGGTGGTGGCAGCATCATGCTGTGGGGATGTTTTTCAGCGGCAGGGACTGGGAGACTAGTCAGGATCGAGGGAAAGATGAACGGAGCAAAGTACAGAGAGATCCTTGATGAAAACCTGCACCAGAGCGCTCAGGACCTCAGACTAGGGCGAGGTTCACCTTCCAACAGGATAACGACCCTAAGCACACAGGCAAGACAATGCAGGAGTGGCTTCGGGACAAGTCCCTGAATGTCCTTGAGTGGCCCAGCCAGAGCCCGGACTTGAACCTGATCAAACATCTCTGGAGAGAAGTTGGGAAGAGATCTTTGACGTACCGATCCCATGGCATAGTGTTTATGAACTGACACGCAAAACGACACCGGATTCAAAAATTAGAATCTTTCAATTTAAATTATAATATAAAATTCTTGCCACCAATAGAATGTTATTTATATGGGGGATACAATCTTCCCAGCTCTGCAGATTTTGCTGTGAAGAGACAGAATCATTAGATCATTTGTTTTGGTTCCGTCCATTTGTAGCTTGTTTTTGGACACAGGTCCAGGAATGGCTAAAGGATTGCAATATTTACCTGGAACTAACCTTGCAGATAGCATTACTGGGTGATCTGAAAAGTCATAGTCAATCAATACTTTTAGCAAAAATGTTTATTTTTAATTCACAATCTGTAGAAGCAATGAGAATAGAAAGGTTCAGAACTTTTGTAAAACATCACAGTACGGTTGAAATATATATGGCAAATAGAAATCCTATATGGATGGTGTTAAGAGATAGATGGGAGGTATTGAATAGAGTTGAAGGATGGGACTAATAACAAAAAACAACAAATAATAACAAAGATATCTAATAATGTAAGCGTGCTGTGTCCATAATAAGTATATAGGTTGTATGTTGGGAGCTTTTGGGAAAGAGCACAGTTAGAAAGATATGGCATATAGAAGCAAACCGGATGGACATCATGAAAATGATCGGAGAGGTTGAGAGTAGAAGAAGTTCAGGAGCAAAAAAAATAAATATATATATATATATATAATAGAATTATTGTAAAATTAACTCTGTCCATAAGGTGTAGATAGTAATTATAGACCGGAAGTAGAGGCCTGGGCATTGTTGTTCACTAATTTACTCCAAGTAGGGAAAGGATGGTGGGGTTGAAAAGTAATAAAGGGGAGTATATATATATATATAAAAAAACAAAAAAACATGGGGGATTGGAAGTGATGCAGACAATTACATTGATAGAAGATACAATCTATCTGCAATATTAAGCTGATCCATTCCCCCCCCCCCCCAAAAAAAAAAAAGAAAAGGAAAAAAAAAATATATATAAATAAAAATATAATACAATTTAAAGACAAAAAAAAAAGAAAAAAAAAACATCTCTGGAGAGAACTGAAAAATAGCTGTCCAGCGACACTCCAACCTGACAGAGCTTGAGAGGATCTGCAGAGAAGAAGGGGAGAAAGTCCCCCAAATACAGTTGTGCCAAGCTTTTAGCGTCATACCCAAGAAGACTTGAGGCTGTAATCGCTGCCAAAGGTGCTTCAAAAAAGTACTGAGTAAAGGGCCTGAATATTTATGTAAATGTAATATTACATTTTTTACACATTTGCTAGATTTTCTACAAAACTGTTTATGCTTTGTCATTATGGGGTATTGTGTGTAGGTTAATGAGGGGGAAAAAATAATTTAATCCAGTTTAGAATAAGGCTGTAATGTAACAAAATGTGGAAAAAGTCAAGGGGTCTGAATACTTTCCGAATGCACTGTATCGTTCTGGGTTCCACTGTGCAAGAGCAGGTTGGTGGAGTTTTATGAACATCAAGGCACACAGGTGATTATTTATTTATTTTCATTCTGAAGTTGTCAAGTCTCCAATGGGCCTCTGTATTGCACACATGTAGCCTACAGTTCTTCATCATTCGCCAGAGAGAATACAGGGAAGAAACCACCATTTACCTACCTCTAGGCTGCTGTAGCCGACATATTTATTTGGTTTGTTATTCTATCGTTTTTCATGCAATTTTTGTGGTAATTAAATATAATTTATTTAATTCTGTGTATTCTCAAATTGAAAAGAGTGAGGGAGCTCCCCCAGCACTACACACCTGATTACTTGTGAAGCTAAGGTAGCTGCACTGCGCTATTTCATTTTAAAAAAAAAGCCACATCTCCCCACATCCCAGCCCCCCCCCCACCGTGGAAAAAAATTGCAGCAACCCCAAACTACTTGCCGCGGCTATGTGTGTGTGTGTGTATGAGAGACTTACTATGGTGGTGATGACAGGGATGGTGGTGGAGGAACACAGGAGCTGCTGTTTGACCTGGCGGTAGCGATCATAGAAAGGCTTCATCAGAGTCTTCTCCTGCCTGGTGCTCTGAAAACACACACGGTAAAAAAAAGAAAAGAAAGAAAATGGCTACACTAAAACAGACATTTACAACACACACTGGGCAGTCTTACCGGTCGTCCATGCAGGCTCTCAAAGTGGAGCAGACACTTCTGCAGGGTGACCTTCTCCACAGCCATCTGAGCCTGAGTCATCTCCTGGACCAGGAACCAACCACAATGGCAATACAGTCAGACACAAGGCCAAACCAAAGAGTAATACACCACACCAGAGTTACACTGACAGTATAACACACTCAACTGATCAAGAGTAATCTTGGTATGAGTATAGGTCCTTTCATAACTATGTATATTTGCATCGCATTACCTGGTAATTCACTATGTGTAGTTTTACCTTGATGTTATCTGGCAGTTCCTCCTCCTGTCGTTTTGCCATCATTCTCTTGTTCAGGCTATCAACGGTCTCCTTCAGTGAGGGTTTGTTGTTACTGTTCTGGTAGTGCTCCATCGCCCCCTGTGGGTCTCTGGTGGACCTGCATGTACCTGTGTTCCCTCCTCTCTGCTGCTCTCTGAGCCCCTCCGCACACTGTTTCAGCTTCAGCTCTACACAGACACAGAGGTTCCACTTGACAATATAGAACACCCATACAAATATCAATATAGATTCAGAATAAATGTCCTTCCTCCCCAATTTTCATTTTTTAATGGCATAAATAACGAACATCGATGTTCATTATGAACATTTCCTTACAAATAATAATGATACATTATACATCCACCAAGATGGTGTCTTGATGTTACATTCTTTCACTTCAGCAGCAACTCACACAGGTTTTTTTTAAATGCATCTGATTGCAACACGCCAAGGACTCACCTTTGAGCTGCTTGCGAGACTTAGTGAGGTCTCGCATCAGTCTAGATATTTCTGGGTGGGCAGTCTTATCATTGTATGCTGGCTGCCACAGAAAAACAACACAAACCTCATGAATATATTACACATAGAAAGAGGTATATTCATCATATATGGCAAAAATATATCCTATCGTTATTATCAGTCCATAAACACTAGGTGGAGCTACACTAAATGTATGTGTAATGTTGGAACGAGAACTACAGCACTGGAAAAGACAGAAGTGTAATGTAGGAAAACATCCAGTAGGAGAAGTCTTTGAATTGGATTATTCTGTTTCCAAACCATCAATTGTTTCCTAAGGCTGTGTGCAGCTGGTATTGGGCTGAGTTGGCGCTGTAGAAAAGGAAACTGAAATCAAGTCTGGTGAGAGAGAGAGCGGTTTGAACCAGGCTAAACTGGCCTGGAAGAGGGAGAGGAGATAGGACTGTCTCTGGCCTTGATTCTTTGACTCAGAAGGAGGAAATACATTCCTCCCACTGGGCACACCATGTAATTTCAACATGGATAATTGGCTAATATTTGGTTGAGACATTGATCAATGAGATTACAACCTATATTCACCCACTCAAAAAGACAGACAAAAGTTAGTTGAATTTACAATGTGTTATTGAATTACTTATTTTTTTCCAGAAGGAACTTCAGTTGTGGCAAATCGGACAAGATAAAGATATATAGTAAACATATAAACAGCAACATTCACACATGACAGATACAAACGCTTACAATGTACAGTGAGCTCCAGAAGTATCGGGACAGTGACACGTTTGTTGTTGTTTTGGCTCTGTACTCCAGCACTTTGGATTTTAAATGATACCATATCGGGTGAACCGTTTAGAAATTACAGCACTTTTTGTAAATAGTCCTCCCATTTTAGGGGACCAAAAGTATTGCGAAAAATTCACTTATATGTGTATTAAAGTAGTAAAAGGTAAAGTATTTGGTCCCATATTCATAGCACGCAATAACTCCATCAAGTTTGTGACTCTACAAATTTGTTGGATGCATTTGCTGTTTGTTTTGGTTGTGTTTCAGATTATTTTGTGCCCAATAGAAATTAATGTTAAATCACTTTTATTGTAAATAAGAATATAATATTTTTCTAAACACTTCTACATTAATGTGGATGCTACCATGATTATGGATAATCCTGAATGAATAATGATGAGTGAGGAAGTTAGACGCACAAATATCATAAACCCCCACAAATGCTAACCTCCACTTTTATTGTAATGGTGAGAAGTTAGCATGTTTGGGGGTATGAAACAGTATTTGTGATATGTTGGATTCACGTCTCCATAATAATAAATAAATAATAATATGCCATTTAGCAGACGCTTTTATCCAAAGCGACTTACAGTCATGCGTGCATACATGTTTTTTTTTTTTGTGTACCATCTCAACCAAAAATCTAAGTTAAAGAGTAGGACTAAATCAAAACTTTAAATCAAATCAAACTTTAAATGCACTTAAATAATGTTTGATTTGATTTAGTCCTATTCTTTAAGTTACATTTTTGGTTAGGATGGATGTGAATCCAACATATCAATTATTAATTTGTAGAAAAACTGGAATTAAAGCCAGATTAATAAGTCAGTGGCACAGATGGAACTATCCAAGCAGAAGATACATCTCCTTCAAATGTTGATATTTGGTTGTGTTGACAACTAAACACAATTCAATTTCACTAAATATAATTTCATTTGGAGCAGAATGGCACCGGAGGAGATGGCTGCCGTTTTACGGCCCCCTAACCAATTGTGCTATTATGTGTGTTTTTTCACATTATTTGCAATTTATTCTGTACATAATGTTTCTGCCACCTTCTCTTATGAACAAAAGGGGTTCTGGATATCAGGACAGCGATTACTAACCTCGTATTGGACAAAGATCTTTTCTCGGATGCGAAGGATATTCTACAGACACCCGACAAGGCCCAAATCCCTGTCATTCGCATGAGAAAGAGACGGAGATATCGTGGACGTACACTACCGTTCAAAAGTTTGGGGTCACTTAGAAATGTCCTTGTTTTCAAAAGAAAAGCAATTTTTTGTCCATTAAAATAACATACAATTGATCAGAAATACAATGTAGACATTGTTAATGTTGTAAATGGCTATTGTAGCTGGAAATGGCTGATTTTTAATGGAATAGGCGTACAGAGGCCCATTATCAGCAACCATCAGTCCTGTGTTCCAATGGCCCATTGTGTTTGCTAATCCAAGTTTATCATTTTAAAAGGCTAATTGATCATTAGAAAACCATTTTGCAATTATGTTAGCACAGCTGAAAACTTGTGCTAATTAAAGAAGCAATAAAACTGGCCTTCTTGAGACTAGTTGAGTATCTGGAGCATCAGCAATTGTGGGTTCGATTACAGGCTCAAAATGGCCAGAAACAAAGAACTTTCTTCTAAACTCGTCAGTCTATTCTTGTTCTGAGAAATGAAGGCTATTCCATGCAAAAAATTGCCAAGATCTGGTACAACGCTATGTACTACTCCCTTCACAGAACAGCGCAAACTGTCTCTAACCAGAATTGAAAGAGTGGGAGGCCCCGGTGCACAACTGAGCAAGAGGACAAATACATTAGAGTGTCTAGTTTGAGAAACAGATGCCTCACAGGTCCTCAACTGGCAGCTTCATTAAATAGTACCCGCAAAACACCAGTCTCAACGTCAACAGTGAAGAGGCGACTCCGGGATGCTGACCTTCTAGGCAGCGTTACAAAGAAAAAGCCATATCTCAGACTAGCCAATAAAAATAAAAGATTAAGATAGGCAAAAGAACACAGACACTGGACAGAGGAAGATTGGACGGCGCTTGATTGGAGCAAATTTCCTCCTACAACAGGACAATGACCCAAAGCACAGCTCCAAACTATGCAATAACTATTTAGGGAAGAAGCAGTCAGCTGGTATTCTGTCTATAATGGAGTGGCCAGCACAATCACCGGATCTCAACCCTATTGAGCTGTTGTGGGAGCAGCTTGACCATATGGTACGTAAGAAGTGCCCATCAAGCCAATCCAACTTGTGGGAGGTGCTTCAGGAAGCATGGGGAGAAATCTCTTCAGATTACATCAACAAATTGACAACTAGGATGCCAAAGGTCTGCAAGGCTGCAATTGCTGCAAATGGAGGATTCTTTGACGAAAGCAAAGTTTGAAGGACACAATTATTATTTCAATTAAAAATCATTATTTCTAACCTTGTCAATGACTACATTTCCTATTAATTTTGCTATATTTCCTATTCAAACTCATTTGATGTAGGTTTTCATGGAAAACAAGGACATTTCTATGTGACCCCAAACTTTTGAACGGTAGTGTAGGTCGGGGTGCCTTGTAAGGATCCGACAGCGAGCGAGTAATCTGCCTCTTCCATCAGTCCTATTAGCCAATGTACAATAATTCGAAAACAAAATGGATGACCTAAGATCAAGGATATCCTACCAACGGGACATTAAAAACTAATATCTTATGTTTCACCGAGTCGTGGCTGAACGACGACATGGATAACATACAGCTGGCGGGATATACGCTACATCGGCAGGATAGAACAGCTGACTCCGGTAAGACAAGGGTGGCGGTCTGTGTATATTTGTAAACAACAGCTGGTGCACAAAATCTAATATTAAGGAAGTCTCAAGGTTTTGCTCGCCTGAGCTAGAGTATCTCATGATAAGCTGTAGACCACACTATTTACCAAGAGAGTTTTCTACTATATTTTTCGTAGCTGTCTATTTACCACCACAAACCGATGCTAGCACGAAGACTGCACTCAATGAACTGTATAAGGCCATAAGCAAACAGGAAAACGCTCATCCAGAGGCAGTGCTCCTAGTGGCTGGGGACTTTAATGCAGGGAAACTTAAATCCGTTCTACCTAATTTCTACCAGCATGTTAAATGTGCAACCAGAGGAAAACAAACCCTACACCACATTTACTTCACACACAGAGATGCGTACAAAGCTCTCCCTCGCCCTCCAATTCTATCCTCCTGATTCCTGCTTATAAGCAAAAACTAAAGCAGGAAACACCAGTGACTCGGTTAATAAGGAAGTGGTCAGATGACGCAGATGCTAAGCTACAGAACTGTTTTGCTAGCACAGACTGAAATATGTTCCTGGATTCTTCCGATGGCATTGAGGAGTACACCACATCAGTCACTGGCTTCATCAATAAATGCATTGATGACGTTGTCCCCACAGTGACCGTACGTACATACCCCAACCAGAAGCCATGGATTACAGGCAACATCCGCACTGAGCTGCCGCTTTCAAGGAGCGGGACTCTAACCCGGATGCTTATAAGAAATCCTGCTATGCCCACCGACGAACCATCAAACAGAAAATTGTCAATACAGGACTAAGATTGAATCGTACTACACCGGCACCGACGCTCGTTGGATGTGGCAGGCTTGCAAACTATTACAGACTACAAAGGGAAGCACAGCCGAGAGCTGCCCAGTGACACAAGCCTACCAGACGAGCTAAATCACTTCTATGCTCGCTTCGAGGCAAGCAACACTGAAGCATGCATGAGAGCATCAGCTGTTCCGGATGACTATGTGATCATGCTCTCTGTAGCTGATGTGAGTAATACTTTTAAGCAGGTCAACATTCACATTACCAGGACGTGTACTCCGAGCATGCGCTGACCAACTGGCAAGTGTCTTCACTGACATTTTCAACATCTCCCTGACTGAGTCTGTAATACCAACATGTTTCAAGCAGACCACCATAGTCCCTGTGCCCAAGAACACTAAGATAACCTGCCTAAATAACTACCGACCCGTAACACTCACGTCTGTAGCCATGAAGTGCTTTGAAAGGCTGCTCATGGCTCAAATCAACACCATTATCCCAGAAACCCTAGACCCACTCCAATTTGCATACCGCCCCAACAGATCCACAGATGATGCAAGCTCTATTGCACTCCACACTGCCCTTTCCCACCTGGACAAGAGGAACACCTATGTGAATGCTATTCATTGACTACAGCTCAGCGTTCAACACCATAGTGCCCTCAAAGCTCATCACTAAGCTAAGGACGCTGGGACTAAACACCTCCCTCTACTACTGGATCCTGGACTGTCTCAGCCTCCAGTATTTATGCTGCAGTAGTTTATGTGTCGGGGGGCTGGGGTTAGTTGGTTATACCTGGAGTACTTCTCCTGTCTTATCCAGTGTCCTGTGTGAATTTAAGTATGCTCTCTCTAATTCTCTCGTTCTCTCTTTCTCTCTGAGAACCTGAGCCCTAGGACCATACGTCAGGACTACCGGGCATGCTGACACCTTGCTGTCCCCAGTCCGCCTGGCCTTGCTGCTATTCCAGTTTCAACTGTTCTGCCTGCGGTTACGAAACCCCTACCTGTCCCAGACCTGCTGTTTTCAACTCTTAATGATCGGCTATGAAAAGCCAACTGAGATTTATTCCTGATTATTATTTGACCATGCTTGTCACTTATGAACATTTTTGAACATCTTGGCATGGTTCTGTTATAACCTCCACCCGGCACAGCCAGAAGAGGACTGGCCACCCCTCATAGCCTGGTTCCTCTCTAGGTTTCTTCCTAGGTTTTGGCCTTTCTAGGGAGTTTTTCCTAGCCACCGTGCTTCTACACCTGCATTACTAGCAGTTTGGGGTTTTAGGCTGGGTTTCTGTACAGCACTTCGAGATATTAGCTGATGTACGAAGGGCTATATAAAATAAAATTGATTGAAAAAAATAAAATAGATTGATTGACTTCCTGACGGGCTGCCCCCAGGTGGTAAGGGTAGGTAACAACACATCTGCCACACTGATCCTCAACACAGGAGCCACTCAGGGGTTCGTGCTCAGTCCCCTCCTGTACTCCCTATTCACCCATGACTGCATGGCCAGGCACGACTCTAAGACCATCATTAAGTTTGCCGACGACACAACAGTGGTAGGCCTGATCACTGACAACGAGGAGACAGCCTATAGGGAGGAGGTCAGAGACCTGGCCATGTGGTGCCAGGATAACAACCTCTCCCTCAATGTGATCAAGACAAAGGAGATGATTGTGGACTACAGGAAAAAAAGAGGACTGAGCACGCCCCCATTCTCATCGACGGGCTGTAGTGGAACAGATGGAACAGCTTCAAGTTCCTTGGTGTCCACATCACCAACAAACTATCATGGTCCAAACACACCAAGACAGTCGTGAAGAGGGCACGATAAAGCCTATTCCCTCTCAGGAGACTGAAAAGATTTGGCATGGGTCCACAGATCCTCAAAAAGTTATACAGCTGCACCATCGAGAGCATCCTGACTGGTTACATCACCGCCTGGTATGGCAGCTGCTCGGCCTCCGACCGCAAGGCACTACAGAGGGTAGTGCGTACGGCCCAGTACATCACTGGGGCCAAGATTCCTGCCATCCAGGACTTCTATACCAGACAGTGCCAGAGGAAGGCCCTAGAAATTGTCAAAGAGCGCCAAGTCTAGGTCCAAAAGGCTCATTAACAGCTTCTACCCCCAAGCCATAACATTTAAATTTACGTCATTTAGCAGACGCTCTTATCCAGAGCGACTTACAGTTAGTGAATACATATATATTTTTTTTATATATACTGGCCCCCCCGTGGGAATCGAACCCACAACCCTGGCGTTGCAAACACCATGCTCTATCAACTGAGCTACATCCCTGCCGGCCATTCCCTCCCCTACCCTGGACGACGCTGGGCCAATTGTGCGCCACCCATGAGTCTCCCGGTCGCGGCCAGCTGCGACAGAGCCTGGATTCGAACCAGGATCTCTAGTGGCACACTCAGGAGCCATAAGACCCCTGAACAGCTGATCATGGCTACCCGGACTATTTGCATATTTTATTTTACTGCTGCTCTTTAATTATTTTTTACTTACCAATTTTTTTACTTAACACGTATTTTTCTTAAAACTGCATTGTTGGTTAAGGGCTTGTAAGTAAGCATTTCACTGTAAGGTCTAGACCTGTTGTATTTGGCAAATAAAATTTGATTTGATCAACCAGAGCTTGAAAGCCTAGGCCTGTTGTACTGTCTATTTTTTGTTTGGTTGAATTGAAACATTAGCTGTTGATGACTAAATTGCATCATTGATGATATACTACTGTACACTACCAGTCAAAAGTTTGGACACACCTACACATTCAAGGGTTTTTCTTTATTTTTTACTATTTTTTACGTTGTAGAATAATAGTGAAGACATCAAAACTATGAAATAACACATATGGAATCATGTAGTAACCAAAAAAGTGTTAAACAAATTCTTCAAATAGCCACCCTTTGCCTTGATGAAAGTTTTGCACACTCTTGGCATTCTTTCAACCAGCTTCATGAGGTAGGCATGAGACAGCCCTATTTGGTAAAAGACCAAGTCCATATTATGGCAAGAACATCTTAAATAAGCAAAGAGAAATGACAGTCCATAATTATTTTAAGACATGAAGGTCAGTCAATATGGAAAACAAATGTCAAGAACTTTGAAAGTTTCTTCAAGTGCTGTAGTAAAACCATCAAACGCTATGATGAAACGGGCTCTCATGACGACCGCCACAGGAATGGAAGACCCAGATTTACCTCTGCTGCAGAGGATAAGTAACAGGCTCTCTTGAGGACCAGCCTCAGAAATTGTAGCCCAAATAAATGCTTCACAGAGTTCAAGTCACAGACACATTTTAACATCAACTGTTCAGAGGGGACTTTGTGAATCAGGCCTTCATGGTCGAATTGCTGCAAAGAAACCACTACTAAAGGACACCAATAAGAAGAAGAGACCTGCTCGGTCCAAGAAACACGAGCAATGGACATTAGACCGGTAGAAATGTGTCCTTTGGTCTGGAGTCCAAATTGGCGATTTTTGGTTCCAACCGCCGTGTCTTTGTGAGATGCGGTGTGGGTGAATGGATGATCTCGGCATGTGTAGTTCCCACCGTAAAGCATGGAGGAGGAGGTGTTATGGTGTGGGGGTGCTTTGCTGGTGACAATGTCTGTGATTTATTTAACCAGCATGGCTACCACAGCATTCTGCAGCGATACGCCATCCCATCTGGTTTAGCCTTAATGGGACTATCATTTGTTTTTCAACAGGACAATGACCCAACACACCTCCAGGCTGTGTAAGGGCTATTTGACCTAGAAGGAGAGTGATGGAGTGCTGCATCAAATGACCTGGCCTCCACAATCCCCGACCTCAACCCAATTGAGATGGTTTGGGATGAGTCGGATGGCAGAGTGAAGGAAAAGCAGCCAACAAGTGCTCAGCATATGTGGGAACTCCTTCAACACTGTTGGAAAAGCATTCCAGTTGAAGCTGGTTGATATAATGCCAAGAGTGTGCAAAGCTGTCATCAAGGCAAAGGGTGGCTATTTTAAGAATCTCAAATATAAAATGTATTTTGATTTGTTTAACACTTTTTGGGTTACTACATGATTCCATATGTGTTATTTCACAGTTTTGATGTCTTCACTATTATTCTACAATGTAGAACATAATAAAAATATAAAAATAAAGAAAAACCCTTGAATGAGTAGGTGTGTCCAAACTTTTGACTGGTACTGTATGAGTGATAAAGTATGGTGACATTTCATTTGCTCTGTTAAAACTACACTGGAATGACTTCGATAGCAACAGTGAATCTATTTAGTTTTTAAGTGGAGATCTCTCGACAATCATTCTCACGATAGCACATTGGTAATAGTCAGTGAAAAATATAATAGCTGGGCTTGGTTAAAGCCCTGGATGGGAGACCAAAGGGTAGCTACAGATACATTCTCCAGTAGGAAGTGCTCCCCAGCCTATTGTTTTTTTTCCTGATAGTGGATATAACGTTGAAGATCTGATGTTGTTTTAATGGTACAAATTCAACATATTTTATACAAGGTTTGTCTATGTTGAAATGTGGTTACTATGATGACATAATCCTGTGGTTGAAATTTCACCCTTAAAACAACAGTTTACATTGATGACTTTTTTCAAATCCAATGTATTTTCCACGCAGATTCCACTTCACAATATGTTGACAAATTACGTTGAAACAACGTTGATTCAACCAATTTGTGTCCAGTGGGCTTTGTCTTTATGAGACTGTGTGTACTAAAGCCCTCATCAGCCAAACCATGGATTTATTCAGAAACTAAAAGGTTGGCCTCTGGGCTATAATGGGGTTGTAAATAAACTTTGATGTTTGATAGTTTTACTGTCTCACCCTGTAGTGTCTCTCTTGCTCAAAGCGCTCCTCGAAATGTCTGATCCTCTTCCTCAGGTTCTGGATGTGTCTGTTTAGCGTTGTGACTGATGGGGCCTTGTTAGCTCCCTCTGCTGGTTCAGTCCTCACTATGTAGTGAGCCCTGGTGAGGGAGGGAGAGCTAGAATGGTAAGTTCCCACGTTTTCCATCACATACATACACTTCCAAGACACACACACACATAACACGCATAAACCTTGGACACACAAAGCCACATTCTCTCTCCATCTGAGTGCACACACAAAAACCGAACACAAACCCACAACACTTGAACACAGTCTCTTACATCCTGATGTGTTGTGAGCAGGGTGGGGAGGGGGCTGTTTCGGGGTCTGTGTTGAAGCGTTGGCCCTGGCTAAGGTTGTGGCAGCGGGGGGACGGTATGGGACAGTCACCAGCCGCGAGGCGCTGGAGGAGAGGACTGGGACCAGGGGTCAGCAGACACTCACTGCTACTCCCCTCAGAGAGAGACATGGGGGCCCTCTGGACCGGACTTGCTTCTGACAGAGAGCAGAGGGAGGAGGGAGGAGGGAGAGAGACAACAGGGGTCAAAGTACAGAAATGAAATGAAGACTAACAGGTTTGAAACTATAACAAAGCTAGCGGTGTAGTTGTACACCTATCCTACTAGTCAAAAACAACTAACTTCACTTCATATCCAGAAAATACTCAAAAGATATCTGCCCTTATACACACAGTGCTCCTACTGTATCTATACCATCCTGGTGCATTGTGACTCGATAAGCAAGCATGAGACATACCCACCCAAAGCTAACACTGATAAGAGCTTATATGATCCACTAAACATAAGACTGATGAAGACAGATGAAGAGACATATGATTGATTCACAAAAAAATACTAAATATCAATCATAGTGTACAGGATATCACACAGTACAAGAATAACCAATTTGCTTATGAGGAGACAAGGGTTGAGAGAGATAGGAGAGGAGGAAGCAATAAAATAAAATGAGGGATAGGGAAGGTGCTGTACTCCTACCTGTCAGTGAAGTGCTGATGATGTCCTGGTCCTGTTTTGGGAGGGATTGGAGTGATGGGGTTAGGCTCTGGTAGTCATTGGTACAAGGGGGGAGTTCCAGGTCCTCCTGGGGGGTTCCGGGGGGCGAGGGGCACAGCTCAGCCTCCAGGGCTTGCTGCTTGAGGGAGGGGCTCTGGAAACAGAAGCAGAACATGTCTTCAGAATTAGGGGTCTGGAGAAGGTAAAGCAGGGGTGCAGATCCCCTGTCTGGGGTGCAGAGGTTGGAGAAGGTGGGTGGCGAAATCCTGATGATGGCCGTTAAGAGGGCTTGTCCTTAGGGGAAGTGATCTTGTGTTGTGTCCGTGTGCCCCACACCTCAGTTATAAAAGGGTGGCGTAAGACATGACGTTAGCAGTCACGTAATGGGTCTTGTCTCGGTTCTGCTCTCTCCTAGGTTTCCTCACACCTGGATCCACATGTGATCCCAGTAGCTAGATCCCTGTGTGTGTGTGTGACAGCGTACTCTGCTTCCTCAGAACGGTGAAATCCCTGTGTTCTATAATTCTCGTAGTATCACTGTGTGTTCGCCTCATCATTCCTCTTTTCCCTAATTCAGTAGAATCTATGTGTGTCTGCACATATGTGTTTTCCCTGTTTTTCCGTTCTGTCTGCGTTCTCAGTGATGCTTCTGCTGCTCCGGCTCTCCTCCACATGGATTATTCATAACGTCAGGGAAACGTTCGGGAAAACCACGTGTGTGGGAATATGATGGGGGTGGGGGGTGCGTCTCCGTGGTAACGTTGTAAGGCTGAGCATTCTCATTAGAGAGCAGGAAGGCTGATGTTGTTAGCTCAGTGTGAGCCACAGTAGGGGGTTGACATGGGTTGTTCTGTGAGCGCCCGTACTAGGAAAAAAAATTTTTTATGCATAAATATGGGGTAATCTGGGGGACAGAGGGTAAAGGGGGGCTCATTCAGTTTCGTTTGACATCATGATTTTGTGAGGCTTTAGCCCCTCCCTCTCGCTGTTCATTCATTTAAAAAAACTGTGTGCGTCAGACAGGAGACAGAGGAAAGGGAGGGGGCTGTTACTCACACACACAAACGCTAACCTGTATGAACGCACACACTAGCCATTAGCCAATGCAAATGTATTCCACTTCACAAAATATCTAAATGAATACTGCAGTATTAACAAAAATGACCCATATCTAAAATGAAATCATTGCCCCTGATTGGAATGCATTCAACGACTCACCATCTGATTTGAGAGCTGAAGTGAACAGTTCTATCTGGGCTGTTTATAACACCCATATATTAACATGTTTTTGTTGTTGTATTTGAGATAGATAGATTAGATAGATTAGATAGATTAGATAGATTAGATAGATTAGATAGATTAGATTAGATAGATTAGATAGATAAGATAGATATAATGTATGTCTATACCTCAGGCACAGACAGAATTGGTTAATTGACATGTTCCCTGTGCATCTCTGTCTGGCCAGGGGCAGAATGTATTTTATGTTCCTTTTCCTGGACCAGCCCCTGGCCATGGTCCGGATTGGCACCAGAGTCCTGGTGACCCAGAGACCAGACCAAGACCCTGCCCACCTCTTGCTGTGGGTAATCAGGCTGATCAAGAAAGCGAAGAGCCAAGGTCACGTGGTGATAGCAGATCAGTCTTGGATTTCCTGCCATAGGGGCCTACCTTCCACTGCCCTTATCTCACCTAACAAAACTGTTAACCCCATCATTCAGGTGTCTGCTCTCATGCTCAAGTTGCTACTCTAGGGATATCAAAAAGGTTGTTGTGTCTTTCAGGCCTACCTCATGGCAGAGGTTTTCCGCCTAAAGATTGTTTCAGTCCAAATCCAAGATGCTACATTTGGATGGGGCCAGAATAGCAGCAGAAGGATAAGTACAGCTGCCACTTTGATCTCTCCTCGCCATTACAGAACCACTAACACTAGCAGCAGAGTTGCCACCGTTCTGTGGCTGTTGCTGCTGGCCTTCATTTCTTGTTTGTTTTCCATGAAGGTGAAAATGTTGTTCAGTTAAGGCTTCTTTCAAAGCACACCAATTAAAACAGAGTGGAGCATTGAAATGTGATTGGGACTGTTGGCATAGGCCATAGCCAGCAGTGAGAGAATACATGCTTTGTTTCCTGAATCATTACCAAAATAACTTAATTCCTTAGCCCTTGCATGTGATTGATAATATCATGAATGTACAGTAATATATCTCTGTTGACAAAATTAAAACTGGGTCTTCCCTAAAAGCCTTGTACCTGTCTGTGTGCTGGTCTTGGTTCTGGGTAGCTGACTTAACTCAACTCCATGGTGAAGGAAGTTTCTGATTAACTCCACCAACGGAGTTGAGCAGAGACCAGGCTTTGTGGAATTCAGGTCTGACTACATCGATTCGCCCAAGGAAAATACTTCAAAAAAGTATTGTTTGTCATCTGTAGTTGCGTGCCTTTCTTTGTTTGCTGAAATCCATACTTTTTCAATAAACGTTAATCAAATACAACCACAGACTGTTTGCTCGTAGGCCTAGGTCTCCAAATACTTATTGTCCAATCAAATCACACAATCTAGGCCTACGTCATCGGAGGTGCAATTGGCACATGTGCATTCGCGCTGAGTTGTCATCTTCAAGAAACAGAAGCGAGCAAACAGTCCGTGGTTGTATTTGATTAACGTTTATTGAAAAAGTATGGGTCGGGTCTAGGTCGAGTTGTCCTTGGGTCCATTCGGGTTCGGGTCTGATTGTTCTTGGGTTCGTATTCCCATTTATACATTTTTATCGAGTCCATTCGTGTCGGGTCTGACTGTCCTCGGGTCCAGGTCCAACTATTTGGACACGTGAAGACCTCTAGTCTCTGCTTAACTGAATCAGAAATTTCCTTCAGCATGGAGTTGAGTTTAGTCAGCTAGGTTCTGGGTGTCCTGGGCCTGCCAGCTCACTGACACACACCTGGAGCGCTCAGAGCTGGAGGGGTCATGCTCGGGATCCCCTGTATCCTAAAACCCAATACATACAACATCTTCATCAATAGACTCTGTGTACACTTACTCATCCATTGAAACATGCTGTACTCTGTGAATACTGACATAAATTATTGCTGCAATTCAACCATTGGGACCAATTCATATATTTTAACAAACATATCTTCTGTTCATTAGTTTATTTTATTTTATCTAATAACTTCTTCATAGGGGCCCGCGTTGCATGTCACAATAACATTGTGGTTTAGAAATAGCTCTGGATGTATTATGATGTTGACATCTAGGCTATCACTGAATAATATTCAGTGGTGAAGACACGTATACACGTACAGTACATTGAGCTGAGGGTAAATCATCATAATGACAATTTGTGTTTTGCATTGTTAATGAGGAAAGGGATGTGTGTGTGAGTGCGTGAGTGAGTGAGGGACTGGGTCTTCCTCCTGTTGTGACCTTGTCCTGCTCAGGAAGAAATATGCAAGCTGGACTGCATTCCTCAATACTTTTTCAAAAAACCTGTCATCTACTATTATGACCTGAGACTTGAGCAGGCAGGTTGGTGTGGGATCACCTTGAACTTCTCAATAAGGACATCCCAATGAAGCATACATGAATAAATAAACAGCATGTAAAGTAAGTGATAGAAGAATTTGGTAATGACTAATTATTAATGACTAATTATTACATCCTGAAACTGTGTGAAAAGTGTTAGAATCATAAGACTATAATCTGATAATATGTGTGGCTTAGTTAGAAGTACAATGAGGCAGTCAGAATATTGTGAGAACGGCGATAACTAAAAAATGAAGCCTGCCCGAGCAAGGAGTAGACTATGATAAGAATATGTGTGTGTGTGTGACCTGATGGTCAGGAGAGCAGAGGAAAACATGAGTATTCCACTTCCACATAAGGTCAGTAGTCTTTATTCATTAGTGAAATGTCAGTTGGTCCGTAACGATTCACAGTAATAGGCCATTACCAAAAGAAACTACCCGGTATAGAGGAGGGAGAACCCATTTCTGTTGTATGAGACTGTCAGGAATTGTCAAGATTACATTTGAGGGGATAAATTCCTCTGTAACGGTATGAGATAATTCTGGGGGACTAGTCAAGACTACATAAACAGAAAGGGGTGATTCCAGGTGTTGTGTGAAACTGTTCATAGGAGGCAAATCCTCACAAGAGGTCCCAGAATTAACTGGGGACGAGAAATATATGGAAATGTGAGACAAACGGAATGTGTATTATGGACCTAATTGGAGAAAAAGGTCACGTGTACTGGGTTGAGCATATGACGTCAACACATTGTATTTCGGTCAAGCTTCCAGGGGGTAATTAGATTTGGGAAATGTAGAAGTAATGTAGGATTATGGTCAAATTGACCATAGTGAAATGTCAAATGTTGATAGGGTTAATATTCCAAATTTGGGTACTATTATAGAAGAAAATATTCCTGTAGGTTGTACGAATATTGATTGGGTGATGAGAAATGTTGAATTGCATTGATTAAGCAAGAATGGTATTAAATTAATGCGTTCTAGTTATGTGTATGCAAATATGTTATTCGATTTTGGTGGTGTGTGGATAGAATTGACTAATGCCAGGATTTAGTAAACGAAGCAGAGGATAATGTGAAGCGGATGTCTCAATAGTTTGTTTATACAACAGTGAGTTATGCAGACAGTTCAAGTTGAACAATGGGAGATCGTTTTTACTATTAGGCTGATGGCGTAGTAAAATGTTTTCGTAGGTTCTGGATTTATTAAACAATAGGTTTATATTTTAATAAACTAATGCAACAGGTTTAAATCAGTAGATTACCGGAAGGTGGTTATGGGTTTGTTATTTATAGGTTTAGTGAATTTAATGAAACATGGAGTTATCCGATGTGTTCTGAGGGGGAGTTTTTTTTCCCAGGATTGAGGGAAATCCCCTACAGAATATGTTAAGGGTACAGTAGGAGGCAACGTATCAAACATTTTTTTTTATATATAATAGATGCCTGGAACAAAATATCATTGCTTACTTATAAGAAGTAAGGGATTATATTGGCAAATGAGTGAAATATGACATTAAGAAGGGTGACAGGAACAATATACGGGGAAACAGATATTTCCTATGTTCTTGATTACATTTAGCATTTTGGTCATTTGGCAGGCGCTCTTATCCGGAGCAACTTGCGGTTGGTGAGTGCATACATTTTCATACTGTAAAGAAAGGGGCAATCCTACGAGATAATGTCTGGCATAAGGATAAATTATTAAATTTATTAAAGTCACTGTTTTGATATGCGGAAATATTGACACATGGGTAAAGCAATGTGTCAATAGGGGTATGGTAGAGCAGGTTAGGAAACACTTTGTGGCATATGGTATAACAAATTACAAAAAAAAAAGATGTGTCATCTATGCACAGAATAATCACCAAGATAGACAGAGAGCACCCCAGGGGGAATATCCCCCTGGCAAAATATCCAGTCCAGCAATTGGAAATTGATTTTATAGAGTTATCACGGAGTGAAAGGAAGAAATTGGATACAATGTCTGCCAATTGTACTAATGACTATGCGAATAACGCCAGATAAGAATGGATTGTCCCCCTTTGAGAAAGTGTTTGGAAGACCTTACAGAATGCCACAGTTGGCAGGACTAAAGAATACACTAGCAGAACACATGAGAAAATTGCTCGTTAACCATACCCGTATGTCTAAGAATGTGTCCTACAGGAGAATTAAAGGAGAAGGTGACTCATAGTATACAACCTGGAGACTGGGTGTGGATCCAATCGTTGAGGAAAAAGGTTGAAAGCAGTCACGCTGGGAGGGACCATACCAAGTCCTATTGGTAACTGCCTTCGCTATAAGAATAACTGAGAGAGCCACTTGGGTCCACGTTTCCCACTGCAAAAAGGTAGGCCCACATACCAACACCGTTGAACACACACAGAGTTAAAGAGAATAACTGAACCACTAGGGTTCGGGGGTAAACTCTGTTAACGAAGAAACCCTACCCTGACCTTTCATCACTGTGGGGTGTTCCTAGAGGTGTGGGTATGGGGAAGTACCAGGCAGGTGGGTCAGGGACAGGATTGGGATTGTGGTTTTTGGGATTTTGGGGGACTCTGAGCTGCATCATCGTATTAACCATATTATGGATTATTCCAGGTCAACCTAAACAGGGAAATGATTAACAAAATAATACCAAGGCACTGATTCGATCTCGTAGAAATACTGAAACCAAGAAAGACTATTGGGGGAATTGTTATTTTATAGTTAAAGTCAGTTTAGGACAAGATGGAGGATTCAAGATACTATTCGACTTCTCCCATGAAGAGATAGGAGGTTTTGGGGGCTTTGGTAAGAAGGGGGCGTGTACAAGAAAGTTAGGTCCTAGAAGGTATGGTAAATACATTTGCACTGGGGAACGCTCATGTCCTTGGGCAAGGGTGTTTAAACATACCTGGGGAACATACTATGAGAATGGAATGGACGCAGCACACTGATGGGGAATTAAACAAACCCATGATAAATGTAAAACGGAACTGGTGATAACCGTAAAGTCAATTATGCAAGATGACATAGCAAGGAACTATTGGGCCTGTGTTGATGATTTCGGGGCAGATATA